GGGCTGATCAGACGCTCCTACGAGTACCTAGATATAGAAATGATGAAGCTGTTGTTCACCTCTGTCGTGCGCCCGAACCTAGAGTTTGGAAACGTTGTGTGGTCACCGAGACTTGAAAAGGACACAAATTTAGTGGCGAGTGTTCAAAGACGTGCAACAAGGATAATTCCAGAATTAAAGAGCAAGTCTTATGAAGAAAGATTGAAGATTATGAAGCTTCCAAGCCTCCATTATCGACGTCTGCGTGGGGACCTCATTGAAGTATACAAGTATACTCAGTCATGGCTTATACAAGGTCCCAGAAGGATTACTAGAATTTGAAACAAGAACCAACACCAGGGGCCACAGCTATAAAATAAAAAAACTGCGGTGCAACTTATCCACGCGACAACATTTCTTCTCGCTTCGAGTCACTGACATGTGGAACAGCCTCCCTGAAGATATTGTTGACGCTCCGAGTATGAACGCGTTCACGAACAGACTAGACAAGGCCATGCAAGAGCATATGTTTAGTCTTAAAATGCCACGTACCCTACGGAACAACTGATATCTAGAATCGATTTTAAATCTACCGTCCGTTGAAGAAATCTGATCAAAAGGCCAGTCTAGTCAAAAAAAGCACAAGAATCGGCGACAGGCCTATCCAGGCCTACTCTTTAATGACGAAGATACTATTTTATACTATACTATTAGTTTAGAAACTATTTTATGTCCTCTGCGAAATTTGGCCAGCATGACCATAAAAGTTGGAGATGAAAGCGAAATTTGAAAAAAATATAACTCTGCACTCACTGCAGTGTGTGACAGACAGCGCATTTTCTCGTTGTCGAAAACGTGAAGTCACGGACAGAAGGACGGACATGACGAGCACAATAGGGCAATTTTTCCATAAATGAGAAAATGCGCTAAAAATAATCACGACCTAAACATTATATTTAGATTTTAATGAACGCAAATACAAAAGTTCACCGAACTGCGTTCACTAGTCTAGGATATATTTAATGTTCACTAAATCATGGAGACCAGTGGCAAATCCTACAGAAAATTTTTGCCAGAGAGGTAGCCCCATCCGCGGGGCCAAGCCGGGAAAACGAGACAATTTTGACGCTGCCGACCACCCAGCACATATGGTGGTCGTAGATTATGTCGTTGTTTAATCAACGTTATCCTTTATGTCGTAGTGGGGTATATAAATAAACAGAGAAGTGTGATAAGGTCCCGCCTAATCCAATCAAATTTAGCGTGATGAGGTCAGTATTTAGCTCGTTCCACCTGGGACAAGCTAAATTCAAAACTCTGGGACAAGCTTAAGTCATTCCGTTTAAGCCGGTCCCCAGTGAGCTTGATGAGGTCATGTCTGAGCCGGTCCCCAGTGAGTGCGATGAGGTCATGTCTAAGCCGGTCTCCAGTGAGTGCGATGAGGTCATTCCTAAACCACTCTAATCGATAAGGTCCCGGCCAAGAAGACACTTAACCCGTTATAAGTCTCAAGTCTTATCATTATAACTATCGCAACACCTAATGATAAAATTATCAGCTGTTCTCAGTACACCTGATAATTTCAGCTGCAAGCAATATAGCTCCATAGAAAATACGTGCAAGAGTGCCATTGCATTACAGCGGCTCAGTGGCGCTTTGGCCGCCGTGCTGTAAGGAGTGTGTGTGCGTTATCAAAATATGGCATATTCATAGAGATTACTTTTAATTTAAAATTACTGATTCAGAGAAATAAATGGGTGATATTGTCCATCTTTCTTACCCACAGCACGAGCGGAAAGCTGACGCAACAATACGCTCTTTTGCATGGTCAAACTTGGTCAGAATGACTCGCATCAAAGTAAAAAGTGCATTGATATTGGGACAATTTTGCCGTCATTTCTTTATGTGTTTGTCATATTATCAATAGAATTAGTTGTAATTTAGCATAGTGTGACTATATTTTAACCATGATTGATTTAATCTTTATATTGGTGAGCTAAATCTTTTTCTTGGCTGACTGATATTCAAGTGAGAATGATTATAATATTATTATTGTGATAAATATATAAAATATCTGTAAAATCGTTTATGGTTTTATAGATATTTTATATATCGGTTATTCTTTATTAAATCGTTTATGGTTTTTATACAGATAATATTTGGCAGCATTAGCCAAAGAGATGAAATTTAATCACAAACGATAAGTATTTTAACTGAAGCGAGTATATAAGAAAACCATGGCTGAAGGCACCAGCGAACATGCACACTTCTCGTGAGTACGCAAATGTGTTTAAATGTTCATATAATGAGTAAAATATGTAGAAACCTGTATTTAAACATTCAAAAAATGTACAATTACATAAACAAACGTGTACAGACTTTCACAGTGTGATCGAAATGCTTCAAATGATCAATGAGATCAATGTGATCAATGTCATCAAATAAATGTTCTATTAATTTAAAGCACCATCAGATGCGTATCCTACTAGACGAGTATTCTATTAAATGAATGTTCCCTGAAAAAAAAATTATTGCAGAGGCGTGCTTCATTAAATAAATAAAGGAGTGCTTCATTAAAGGAGGAGTAAAGGAGTGCTTCATTAAATAAATGTTCTATTAATTTGAAGCATCATCAGATGCGTGTTCCTACTAGACGAATATTCTATTAAATGAATGTTCCCTGAATAGAAAATTTCATGGAAAAAAATTTTTTTCAAATGTTCCCTGAAAAAAATGTATTTCAGAGGCGCGGAGCTGCTACGGGGCGAACTCCTGGGGATGTTCAGGATCCCTTTCGCCCTACGTGACCTGAGCGATACGCAGCGCACCGCAGTTTGCGACGCCTGTCTGCGTCTCGCCTCCAAACTTACGCAGACAATCGACGGTCCTAGTGCAGAAATTGACCGTCAAAAGTCGTTGAATGAAATTGGTGAAAAGTTCTCGTCATTTCAGGTCGTGAGAAATTCACTATCTGCGTCTGAGGAGTCCTCAGTCGCTACGCAGGAATCCAGTTTGGGGTTCTTCCCACAAGCGGGATCTCGAGGAATTGTTTCTTATTCACCGAAAGTAGACAAATACTTTTCAGATTTTGAAGCATTTCAGTCCCACAAAACAAGCGGAAAAGAAACTCAAATTGTATATTCTAAGCATGAATCAATCGGTGGTCCCTTATCTCCTTCAGATAAGAAAAAGATAAATGTTATCAAAGGTAGTTTCAGAAGCCTGAATGAGTCTTGTACACAGGAAAGGTTGTCCAATTCTGGATACTTCCATTCTACTCCTGTCATGAACTGCAAACTAGCAGACGATGGCGTCACTCGTACTGTGTCAGCTGTCTTCGTCGGTAGACGAAGTGTCGTAGTCTACGTTATGAATCAGCACATCTACCTCGTAGAAGGTGACAACGTGGTAAGATGTCTACTTGCGTTTCATATTTTTACCCTCCACAGATGTAAAATAACTTTGGAACACTAAACGGTTTTGTCCAGCACTGAAAAAATAGGGAAACTCTTAATGCTCATCAGCTATTAATCATCAACACCTAATTTTCCAAACTTCAGAATTTAGGTTCTTGTTTACAATTTGGGTAAAACACATGCACCTTCAGCAAATAAAGCTAAAATAACATTTCCTTCCTCGAGTCTTGCAACCAATTCATTTCCATCACAAAAGTCGGGTAACACCTAAGCTTCTGCCCAAAAGTCGCCACAATGGACCAATAGGTATTCTGGATCTGCATGGCCGTCCGTTGAAAATAAGCGTCTAGTATGAATCTCCATCCCGATTTTGTTTTCCTATGGTGTGAAAAGGGTTGGCCGACCCTTAGTTGTACATATCTGCTCAGATTCTACACTTCAAGCACAGTCGAAGAGGACATATCCTAACAAAATTTAGAGTCGCCCCCGCTTCTGGTAATCCAAATCAGAGGCTGCCGCGTCTGTAAAATTTCACTGGGTAGAGCGGCTGATATCTGTGCTGTAGGCTAAAAGAGGAGCTTGCAAGCTCGGCTTGGCCAATATTCTCACAGGGGGATTCTGCCTGGGAATCTGAATTCGATCGGGCAGTCAATCACACTCAGAACAACTTTAAGCCGATTGTAGCTATTTCAGGGCAGAAGCCTAGGTGGTGAACCCAAATTTTTTGGCAGTCACAGAGTCGAGCCTACATCTAAATTTTGTTAGGGCGATTTAGGAGCTTTCGTGCTACAAATTTCTCTTGCTCTCTGAGTTCCTTGTGTGACACTGCTTTTAAAACTTATTTGGCACTCTCCTTCTAAGGTTAATCTTATGCCTTTTTAACTAACTAATGTAATTATGAAGGAAGAAATTACTTTGATAAAACGTTATGAACAAGATTAATTCTGAACTATTTCGTATCAACAATATCCTTCTTACTCGCAGCTGGCTAAACACTCTGTCAAGCAGCTAAGCGCAGTGAGCGCCACAAGCTCAGGTGGGGGGTTGGCAGACCCCGGTACGCCGGCAGATCCCGGTACGCCGGCAGACCCCGCTACGCTGGCAGACCCCGGTACGCCGGCAGACCCCGGTACGCCGGCAGACCCCAGGACGTCGGCTGACCCCGGTGCTCCGGCAGACCCCGGTACGCCGGCAGACCCCGGTACGCCGGCAGACCCCGGTACGCCGGCTGACCCCGGTACGCCGGCAGACCCTGGTACGCAGGCAGACCCCGGTACGCCGGCAGACCCCGGTACGCAGGCAGACCCCGGTACGCCGGCAGACCCCAGGACGTCGGCTGACCCCGGTGCTCCGGCAGACCCCGGTACGCCGGCAGACCCCGGTACGCCGGTAGACCCCAGTACGCCGGCAGATCCCGGTATGCCGGCAGACCCCTGTACGCCGGCAGACCCCGGTACGCCGGCAGACCCCGGTACGCCGGCAGACCCCGGTACGCCGGCAGACCCCGGTGGGGCGCTGGTCTACATTGGACTGGACAAGATACGGGAGCAGCGAGTGTGCGTTGTCCTGCAGATGACGTCACGCGAAGACGCACTGAAGCTCATCAGAGCGGTCACTAGGTAACAAAGACAATTCTAAAGACAATATGTGTAAAATTGAGCATCTTTGTGTTTAAATAATTCAAGTAAAAATAAATAACATTACTTGGCCACAGTTTCCAATTATTATTCATGTAGTTTTTATTTGGCGTCTCAATGTACGTATGTGGTATCGCTAAAAGAGTAAAACTATCATCCACAACATGAATAAGATTTTAAATAATTAATCGTCGAAGATTTTCATATTTTACCCTTCAAGCTTTCGTATAATCAGCCACTGTCGGATTCAGCTTCAGACTAGCATGGGCTCATGTGAGTACAATCGTGTCGTACCATTCAAGTGGGGATGGTAAAAAAGTATACAACATAGTGAGGGAACCTTTATGTCCCGACCAGTTACCTGATACTTCAATACATACTCGACTGAGCATGCATCTCTGTCTTTATTGTTGTTGGATATAATATTTTTTTATAAAATTGAATAAAATTAATTTTTCAGAGAACAATCCGCGAGAATAACTTCCACGTCAAGTACTTCATCTCAGTCACCGGAACCCAAAACAAGCAATGCGCGTAAGTTACCTTCTTCCATCAAGAGCATTGAGCCCTCAACAACTACGCAAACGTCAGAAGCATTGAAAGCTCCTTTGAGATATCCAATTGGCGAAGATGCAGTCTCCACCTCGTCAAAATCCGAAAATCATTTAGATTTTGTAGCCCTCAATATACCTTTTACAGCCAACACAGAAGTTCTTTCCAGTAGCCTCAGTAGCCCAAAAATTTTCAACATTCCTCCTGAACCGGAAACCGCACATGCAGTTGAAATTAAATCCATCAGCGCAAACAGTGCTCCTGAAGAAATAAAAGATATTTCCAATGTTTTTGCTCTACCCGTCGGTAAGATTGACAGTGAAAACCTTGAAGCTTTTTGTGAATTGGAAAAACAATCCCAATCAATTTTCACCAGCCCAAAACTAAGCCCACAAATCTTGAAACAATCACCATCTTCTTCCAACATACCAAATCATTCAAAATCCCTAACACCATCGCCATCATCATACACCAGCCCTAACCTGAGCCCACAATCCCCAAGACCATCCCGGTCATCTTCCAGCAGCGCTACCCTTAGTCCACAATCCCTAATACCATCCCCATTTTCTTCCAGCAGCCATAACCTGAACCTACAACCCCCAAGACAAACCTCGTCATCTTCCAACAGCCCTAACCTGAACCCACAATCCCTAACACCATCCCAATCATCTTCCAACAGCCCTAACCTGAACCCACAAACGACAAACAGGAAAAGCGCAAAATTTTTCCTTGAGTCTATCAACAGCTCACTCGATTCCCCAGACCAAGTGAGTTTTACCCCAAAGTCCTTGGTGAGCGATGTATTTTTCAACGATTCTCGTGACGAAGATAGTGTGAGTTGTGTGAGTGACGTGCTGGTGGACTGGGAGCTAGACATGGAGCGAGACCAAGAACTAAAAACAAAAGTCAAGGCATTGACCGACAAATTTATTGAGAAGGAGAATGCTTACCATTTAAAACTTTGCCAATTTTTGCGAGTTTTGGAATCTAACAACCATTTCCCTGGCATTCAGTACCTCCTCCTTCTTGAGGGCATTTCTCATATGCACCTCACAGTTATTACCAACATAAAGAAGAGCTCATGTCCGACGCATTACTTGACTGAAATATTCCTCGATGATTTAAAAGACTTTGACAAGTACGAGCATTTCATCCGTTCGAGTAGGCGATATCATTTCGAGGTCCAGAAACTGCGGCCTGACAAGTGCGAGTTGGCGCGAGACATGATTGAGGCTGTAAGGTCCAGACCAGCCTTCTACGTTGACATCTTCACCGAATGGAAGACCCTTACTAATTCTTCCTACCTGCGCTCAAAATTAGCTCAGAACATTGAACGCGTCTCGGTTGTGGCTAAAATTACAGACTCTGACTCAGTAGTCATGAACGTGAGACACCATCCTGGTTCGTGGAAGATCTACACCCCTTTGTTGGCCGCAGGCTACTTCATGGTAACTGGACGTGGCTTTGCAAAGGGCATCATGCACGCCATGCTCCTCTCGTCTTCCTTCGTCATGTTTGCTGTGGACTCGACGAAGCGACAGTTCTTGAACTGCATTGACGTCATCGCCTTGCATTTCATAGTCCTAAGGACAGACAAAACTCCAACAGTATTTTATCTCGAGATTGATTTTGGGATGAGGAGAGGGAAGGAAAGCATCAAAGTTGAGTGTAAAAGTGCAAGTGAAGCCAAGTTTTGGATCGGCACTTTCACCAAGTTGTTGATGGTCAAGGCCAGTGAAATAAAATCAGAAGAATTTCAGAGACGCGCTTCGACCGTTTCTTTACCAGGCACAGTCTCTGACAGCCAACTGAACTCCATGCTGCAGACTACATGCAGCGTGCCGGAGGAAATGGAGTGCCGCCAGTGATGACGACTGACAACACGGGCTCGTCTTCAATTGTTTTCCATGTATTTTGCCATTCGGCAATGCACGGGCCTGGTTTTCGTTCACTGTGGGGATAACAATAAATTATGACAACTTTTTCGTATAGAGTATAAGGCGGAGTATATTCATTTTGAATTGAAAACATGATCTTGCTTCATGTCTAATTCACTAAAATTTTTCATGCGAAGCCAAGAATGCACTCAACGTTGCGAGCATTTTTAAAACGACATTGCTGATAAAATCAATTTTTTTCAGTATATTTTCCAAGTAAAATTATTGGAATGATATTCTTCTTATCATCCCAAGCATGATATATTATTATTAACAGCGATTGTATATGCGTCTATATGTGTAAATAATCAATGACCTCTATTAGTATCTTCGTACTGATGATTGCGGTATAAATATTTACTTTACTGGTTCGTGCCAGCCCCTGCAATATTAGCTTGCAAAATATTTGCTGCTCTATAACTCTAAATTGATAAAGACCTTATATGTAACTCAACAAATCAGTTTAGTTTGAAACAAGTCAAGTGAAAGACTCAAAATTTGATGAGTTATTTAGGCTACTTTTAAGACGCAAACCATTATAAGAGACATATCTTAATGTTAATAATATTATAAATTCTGATTAGTTTAACGTGATTGTTGTATAGCTGTCGCTATTTCACAGAAGACATGAAAAAATCATATATACCTGATTTTCCACTACCAATTATGTGGTTTTTTTTTTTGCCTTGGCTTTCGTATTTTCGTGGAGTGACTTGATTCCTACATTCAGATATGAAAGATTATATTTTGCAATAAATTCCCTGTTTTCAAATGTCCTTTCTAATGTCTTAACCACCCCTCTAACTTGCGCATCAAATATAGATTTTTTACCACAGAAACATGTTTCAAATTTGCGCACATATGCCATCAAAGTTGATGTTTATTTGGGGCATAAGATGAGCCTGTGTCAAACGAGAGCAGCAGGAGAGCCGGTATGAGGCCGTCATGTCTGCATTAGGGGCCTCTCAAAAGCTCTGCCCGGCTTAAATTAAGTCATTTCTGCTGCCTCTATTGCTCTGCTACCTTCACGAAGATCAGAATGAGAGATGCTGACATTACAAGTCACGAATCCAAATATGAGAAAAACGGTTCTGAGTGTTCCATGGCTGCCTCATAAGATTTCGTCTGGTTTAGCCTATCGCCGATTCCAGACATCGCAAGATTTTCACAGCTAGAAGGGTTTTGAAACCTCAACTCACGGCTTCCATCATGAACTCTCCGCCACCTCGTTAATATATATCAGGGGAAAAGTTTCTTTCTCACATTCATAATAAGTTTACAGAAATATTAATTATTTTCTAGTGGAAAGTAGACGTGACTGTTAAAAAAAGTTTCTCATATAAAATTGATCGTAGTCGCACAAAACCATCTACGTTGAATCACGATGAAAATTGCCATCCAAAAAATATTTGTAACACCAAAAATCAAAAAGCCAAGGCCAACCGGTGATTTCAACTATTTAAATTACAATTCTTATCTTGAGGTAATTGGCACCTGACCAGAGTTGCCATGTCATCATTATCTTCAACAGGTGGTTATATATATAGGCATACAGACATCAAGCAGTCATAGAGACCACAAGTGAACGTACGTTCGATTCAAAAGAGCGGTAAACCCCTAATCTGTCAAAGAAACATTTAATTTATATAATCTTGAGTAAATGAATTTCAAACTTAATGAAAGACATTGAAAACTGCGCAATATCTCGATTGAATATAATTCTGACCTTCCTCCTAACATTGTAAAATTTTTGGTAAGATTAATATATTGAAATCCAGGCTAATCTTCACTAACGGTAAGCGAAGCAATTTATGCTCCTGAACAGTTAGTCTAAACGTTGTATAAAAGCTCCGTCACGTTCATTTGTATTTTTGCTGATATTTTCTACCGCTTTCAAATTATTGTATCGTTAATCCAAAATGCTCGCAGATTTCAGGATAAAGAATGGAAACTAATAGTGATGGTAACAATTTGGAACTGTGCTATAGTGATGAATAAATTTTTCATCAGTAGTTTCAGGTGTTAGGTAAGAGTAGCTTCTCGTTTTGTGGTTTTCAATGTAACGCTGATTCTTTATCAAAAGGGTGAAAAAATCTTCATTAGGATCTTCTTTTGTTCTTATTCTTTTCTGAAAAGTGTTTTTTCTATGTAATTGTGTGCTGATGCATTAAAGCCTGTCCATACTTTTCGATTATACACTAAGCGAATTGAAAGCCTATAATATCGACTGATATAATGAGAGTTGGAGGTGGAATTTTGGGCCTGAAAATTTGATAAGATGCACGCTACATAGTTGTATAAAAATACACTTGGATTCCTCAAATGAATTTTGTTTCTGTGTGAGAACTTGATAGAGTTCTCATTTTTATGGCTTCTCTTAACTTAAGAGAGACTATCCTGCGAAACTGGGTGAAAATGCTCAACCAAGTTCCACTTAGAATTCCACCCCGGGCCCGCCAGAATTCCATGTTCCACCGTAAGCCTTTTAGTAGCGCTGCGTTCCCGATGGTGGAGAAAGTGAAAGAAATCTTTCTTTGGTAGCGAATTAGATTTCACTACTCATTGGCCGCGCTAGCTGTGCTAACCTAGCTTCTCATTGGTAGTCAAGTCCATGCAAACATAGCTTCTCATTGATCACTATGTCGGTGCTAACCTAGCCTTTCATTGGCCACTATGCTGATGCAAACCTAGCTTCTCATTGATCACTATGCCGGTGCTAACCTAGCTTTTCATTGGCCACTATGTTGATGCAAACCTAGCTTCTCATTGATCACTATGCCGGTGCTAACCTAGCTTTTCATTGGCCACTATGCTAATGCAAACCTAGCTTCTCATTGGTAACGAAAGCCATGCTAACCTATCTTCTCATTTGTCATCGTAGCCATGCTAACCTAGCTTCTCTTGGTCACTATACTGATGCTAACCTAGATTTTCGTTTGCCACATAAGCCATGCCAACTTATCTTCTCATTTGCCACCAAACTCAAGCTAACTTAGCTTCTCATTGCCACCGTAGCCATGCTAACCTAGCTTCTCATTTGCAACCATAGCCAAGCTAACCTAACTTCTTATTGGCCATTTATGCTTCCTATCTTCTCATTTGCAACCATAGCCAAGCTAACCTAACTTCTTATTGGCCATCTATGCTTCCTATCTTCTCATTTGCAGCCATAACCAAGCTAACCCAACGAATTATTGGCCATGTATGCTACCCTTCTTCTCATTAGCCACCATGTCCATGCTAATCTAACATCTCATTGACCACCTCAAGTAGGTCATAGCACACGAATAATGCAACAGCGGCATCTAAAAAACGTAAAAAATAAGTGTCCCTCCGGCTTCGTAACGTAGGTACAAGAACGTGAGCCTGGGATTTACTTCAGTTGCTTGCCAAATCTGTTGAGATATTTGACAGGAATTCGTACAAGCTTGATATGCACGTTGTGGCTTTGCCAACGTCTGCTCATGATATTTAAATGTAATCGCTTTTAAATTGTAAATCACTGAGTTATACTTTCTGGATGTTAAATTAGTGAATTTTTTTGCAGGCAGAAAGGCAAGTATCGTGCATGTCGCTGATTTTGATGCGTTGACTAAATTGATATACCTATCGTGGATGAAGTTACAGGAGACGGTAAATTGTGAACGTTTATTAAGTGGCTGGTGACTATCGATCCAAAGATTCTGTCTGCTCAAAAGCCAAAAAGGTCTGCGCAGAAGCCAGAAATGTCGGCTCAACAGCCCGGAATGTCAGCTCAACAGCCTGGAATGTCTGCTCAAAAGATGGAAATGTCTGTTCAACAGCCAGAAATGTCTGTTCAACAGCCAGAAATGTCTGTTCAACAGCCAGAAATGTCTGTTCAACAGCCAGAAATGTCCGTTCAACAGCCAGAAATGTCTGTTCAGCAGCCAGAAATGTCTACTCAACAGCCGGAAAAGACTGCTGAGAAGCCGAAAACGTCTATTCTGAAGCCAAAAATGAGTGCTGAGAGATCGGTCATGGCAGCAGAAAAGCCGAAAACTTCTGCTAATACGCCGAAAACGTCTGCAAATACGCCGAAAACGTCTGCAAATACGCCGAAAACGTCTGCAAATACGCCGAAAACGTCTGCAAATACGCCGAAAACGTCCGCAGAAAAGTCGAAAATGCCTGCAGAGATGCCGAAAATGTCAGCAGAGAAACCAAAAATGTCTGCAGAGAAGCCGAAAATGTCTGCAGAGAAGCCGAAAATGTCTGCAGAAAAGCCGAAAATGTCTGCAGAGAAGCCGAAAATGTCTACAGAGAAACCGAAAATGTCTACAGAGAAACCGAAAATGTCTACAGAGAAACCGAAAATGTCTACAGAGAAGCCAAAAATGTCTACAGAGAAGCTTAAAATGTCTACAGAGAAGGTTAAAATGTCTACAGAGAAGCTTAAAATGTCTACAGAGAAGCCGAAAATGTCTACAGAAATTTGTACCGTGCATTTGTGCCGTGCTATTTGTACCGTGCATTTGTGCCGTGCATTTGTACCGTGCATTTGTGCCGTGCATTTGTGCCGTGAATTTGTACCGTGAATTTGTGCCGTGCATTTGTGCCGTGAATTTGTACCGTGAATTTGTGCCGTGCATTTGTGGCGTGCTATTTGTACCGTGCATTTTCGCTATCGTACGTTTAAGCCGTGTGGTGATACTGGAGAATCATATTGCACTTTTAAAACTATAATATTCCCCTTCCAACTCTATTATATTTTTCTTCTAATGCTCTAATATTGCACTTCTAATGCTTCCACTTTTCTTTTGCAGGCAAATGGTGCTCCGGACTAGGCGACTTTTTATTGTAAGTCTTTTCTTTATGATTTATTTATTGAATCATTGAACTATACTGCGATTGATAATTTGATATTAATCCGAATGTCTTAAATGAGATGAAACCTTCATTACCTGCAAGACTGAATCTTGTTCATAAAAATAATTAGGCTTGTATCAAGGTAGTTGTGTATAAGTTGTCCTGTGCAAAGGTCATACATATATATTATTATTACATTAACAAAATTAGGTCACATACTTCATTAGCAAAATTAGGTGATGGAATGAAGTAGAATTATTAATGAATATTTTTTTCGTAAAATAATGCAATTTTTCCAGCTTATGTATTTTTTGGACGTTGCTGGAATGAAAATATTATCTAAACGAATGTTTCCTCTTGAAAAATTAAACAATTATTCAGTTTATGCATTATTTTATATACTAGTCATGATCGTGAAATTTTTCATTACTGTCGTTATTTTTAGCAACCGTAAATGTTTCCCCAGTTTCCCAGGGTTCCACGAGAGCGCGGCTACATTGGACGTGGTTCTTAAGGAACTTAAATCAACAGTTCGGTGCGTGCTACGCATGCCTTATGACCACGACACTGATGACAACTCAGGCAACAACCCGGGCAACAACCCAGGCAACAACCCAGGCAACAACCCAGGCAACAACCCTGGCAACAACCCTGGCAAAAATTCAGGCAACAACCCAGGCAACAACCCAGGCAACAACCCTGGCAAAAATTCAGGCAACGACTCAGGCAACAACTCTGTCAACGACTCGGTGGAAAATCTGGAAGAAAATCCGTCTGAAGACTCGGATGAAAATCCGTCTGAAGACTCGGATGAAAATCCGTCTGAAGACCTGGAAGAAAACCTGTTTGAAAATGAAGACGAGAAAGTATTTTACGTCTCTATCCTTCAGGCCACGGAGGTCTTCGAGATGGTCAAGCCTG